AGTAGTTTTGACTCTTTTTCCGAGTTGATTGAAACTTCTGGTGTAAATTGAACTAAACGCAACAAAGTTGTTGGATCAGTTCTACTTAAGATATAGTTCTCACCTCATAAACCCTGCAATACACTTCTCTTGGGTCCTCTCCCTTACATGCACTTCTCCAAGCATTGATAAAAACATTGCTGCATTCCCCAAGATATTTCGTTTCGCATGCCTTCAGCTCGTACAAATCAACAGATGGAATAAAGAGAAAAGCCGAGAATAAAACAAAGCTTTTCATTTTTATGCTTATTGAATGGAACTTTCTCAAGGGGGAGTTTGGATTATCGTATCTGTATGTTAGCGAGAAGATAAGCCTTATAAAAGGAATCGATCGTAATAGAAAATTTTTGATTTGCGATAGTCAATCCCCGAGAGACCATTGTCCAACAAGTCCAACAATTAAAGTAAACCAATTACAACACAGTACGTAACGAACATAATTAGGAATTCCCGATGGAAAACATTCCACTTGCTAAACTTAGTAACTCGAATTATTTCATGACATTCTCGTTTCTGTGAACCTTCGCTGCAGTTTGCAACCCGCAAGTTAAAAAAATAGTTTCATCGCATCATGTCTTTCTTGAAAAGAACCATTACTTATTATCAGTATAATATTAAAGCTTCCTGATTGAAAAATAAGTCTGTGTGCGCTTTCCATTTGTCAGAACTGACTGTCCAGACCCAGAGATGTCATTATATATCATTCCCATTTAGTTAGGAAATTCAAATTATTCTTCAGAAAACCTCGAAATGACTGAAAAATGTTGACAACAAGCATTATATACCTCTAAATAGAGTGGACTGGCCGGCCAGTTCTGCCTAAATGGAAAGCACCCTGTGATGTTTGCTCACCAAAATGATTAATAGATTTTTTATTAATATCTTTTAGATGAATTCCGCACGCACGATGGGTTTTGAAAATTAGTTAACTTGAGAACATTTTGTAGCATAACCACAACTTTTACATACGGGATATCCTTCAACACGTGGTTATGTAAATAAAATATTTTTTTTAAAAACGTTTTCGTGTTAAATATCAAAGTACATGTAAAAAAATGCACTTTTAAATGCAAATGAATAATTAAAAAACGCCGACCGGCTTTAACAGTTCAAATGTATTGAAGAAGACAAAGTACCAATTACGATGAAAAAATATATACCTTTTTCATGTTAACTTCGTTAATACTCGATTTTTGATTGTATTAATTTGTAATAACCTATCCAGGGGCTGCGGAGCCGGGGAGAACGCCCCCCTCTCAAAGCACAAAGAAATATTTTGGGGTGCCTGTGCACATACATAACGGCTCAATACATGATTACTAACATACTAAGGTTTGACTAAACAAAGCCAACTGAAATAATGATTTTATTTCATGATACACTCGCAAAATATTCTTGACAATTTTGCTATTATTAAGTGCATTGCTTCCCCAGTCCGCACGAGAATGTACGGTCCTTATTTCAATCAATCACGCCTCGGCACAACTTTAATATACACTCGTTCTTTGTTTCTTTCTAAAATGCAAAGCGAACTTTCATCTTATAGATTCTCTATGGATAATGCGAATGCAATCTGAATGCTAAATTTTCGCAACAATAATAAAAATATTAAAAAAAATTATGCGATGAGCTAGAAGATATATGCAGAATCTATCAAATCGATCGCGGCGCTGGTAAAAATATGTATTAAATATATATACCGTATTTACTCGAATAGACGCCGTGGCGATTATTTCAATTTTCACGATCAAGATGCGGCGTTTATTCGAGGGAGGTGTCTATTCGGGGACGGCGTTTATCAAAAAAACTTCCTATTCAGCACTACATACCGTGCTTTTTATTGTACCTTTTTACTAACAAAGAGTAACGAATCTCAATATATAAATGTCGTGTTCATTTTGTCTATTCAATTTATGGTTTTTACCAGAGTTAAACTTCTATTTCAACATCAATGTCCTCCTTGAGGTCGGAATCTAACAGCTGCTGAGAGCAAAAAAGTACAATCACTTCGAATTAAAAATTGTTCTAAAGGAAAATAAATCCCCACTGCTGGTATCATTATTTCCTCAAATTGAGTGGCAGGCGTCTATTAATAATCTGAGCTTAAAAGTGCTGCGTCTATTTGAGGGCGGCGTCTATTCGAGGGAGGCGTCTATTAATATTTTGAGCTTTAAGTGCTGCGTCTATTTGAGGGCGCGTCTACTCGGGGGCGGCGTCTATTCGAGTAGATACGGCATGAAGTTGTTAATATAGTCATGTTGATTTTTTTGTAGATATTCTTTAAACAGTTTATTTTCGAGTCGTTATTTTGATTTTTACATAGACTGTCGTACTCGAATAACGTCGAACTTAGGGGCGCGGGTCTGACTAAACAAAGCCAAGATATGACTTTTATTTCATGATTCACTCGCAAAATATTCTTGGCAATTTTGCTATTATTAAGTGCATGGCTTCCCGAGTCCGCACGAGAATGTACGGTCCTTATTTCAATCAATCACGCATCGGCATAATTTTAAAATATACTCGTTCTTTTTTTCTTTATGAAATGCAAAGCGAACTTTCATCTTATAGATTCTCTAAGGATAATGCGAATGCAGTCTGAATGCTAAATTTTCGCAACAATGATAAAAATATCTAAAAAAATGATGCCATGAGAAGATATATGCAGAATCAATCAAATCGATCGCGGCGCTGGTAAAAATAAATAATTCAGCCCCCCTCAATATCTTCGGAACCTTTCACACAATGGTCGCCCACTTAAACGAAGCACCACACCCAGACTTGACCCGTGGGAACCATTTTAACGATTCATTTTAATAAATTGCCTACAATTTCATAGAGAATGCTGCAGTGTGATCTGTTTATTATTGAAATGACTTGAAAATAATATTTTTGTATTTTTTCAATTGACCCCAGTTTTATATGATGTCACAATGACATAGATATCAGGTAATTTTTATACTGATTATATATCTATATCTAGACAACCAATTAAATATCATATTTAGGCGTTACTGCTCTCCTGTGATGTTGTGGTTCGTTTTGTATCCATGGTAACAGTCGTGACGTCATAATTGTGATGTCGTTATTTTCTATTGTGTCTTTGTCGTCTTTGAATAATTTGCCTCCAAATCTCCCTTTTTTTTGTCTACATCGTTATTTTATGGTAAAATTTACAATTTGAGAAGTTTTTGAAGTTAAACAATTTGGAACAAGCAATTTTRAGAAGAATATCCGCCATCTTAGGATCCGCCATCTTGGACCGCCATCTTGAATTTTCTAAAATGCCATTAAAACACTAAGCATTGAGGCAAACAGCTCAAAATGTCTTAAATACTTTTCAAACTATCATTTAATGAATAAAAAAGTGAGTTTCGAAGTGCTACTGATGATTTTAATAAAATTTTCTCCCATGTGAAAAAATTACWGAAAACTACCCACCCCTCCCCCCAAAGTTTTTTTTGTCGAAAAAGTAGTATTTTATTATAGGAGCAAGCTCAAATAGGTAAAAGATGCATAATGAAACAAGAAATAAGCTTTACAAATGAAAAATTAAGCATATTTTACATTTTTGAAATCCTATGTGTCAAAAACTGGTTGCCATGGCAACATGTATGACGTTATCAACAACAAAATTGGGCAGGGGGGCTCAAACCTAGTCCAAGAAACATACCCTGGCCAGCGGCACTTCCCCGTATAGAATAAGAATAAGAATAGAATAAGATATTTTATTATTGCCTCTGTGTAAATGGTATTTACATTAGAGTTTATATGCAATAACATACTTTATGATTGTATATATTATTAATGAAATGTTCCAGTAACCTTTTTTCTTATTTCAAAGCATTCATAAATGTGTTTTGCGATTATTTTTGAAACAATTTATTTTAAATTGGATTTATCATATAGTGAAACTTTTCGTCTTCAGTAAGAAACTCGATATTTTTCTTTGTAATAATAGAGATTTATCTTTTCAAATATTTCTTTTCTCTTTGTGGAGAAAAAGGAACATCTGAGAAGAAAATGTTTCTCATCTTCACTTTCATTTTTGCAGAGAGGACATATTCTCTCTTCTGGTTTGACATATGGGCGTGAATACCTCCCTCTTTCAATTTCTAAAGAATGATTACTAATTCTAAGTTTAGTAAGTGCTATTCTATGTTTGATATTATTGACTTCTTTGAGATAACTTTCCTGTTGGTAGGCTATTTTAAAAGTTCTATAAGTTCTAAGTTTATTTCTTTGAGTGTCTTTTCTACCCATATCATCATGAATTTCCCCTAACCATGTTTGTATAGCAACTATATAGGAGTACCTCCCCCTCCCTATCCTCCTGTGATGACATGCAAGTTATAGTCTGGCATTCAGCGTTCAAATAGCATCTGATTTTGGCCCTCAAGAGGAACAATGAACGTCCCGCAACAAGTCGACTGGCCCTCCGAACACTGAACACCACGAATTTACTTGCGCAGGTCCCGATTCGATTATTTTTTTCTATAGACAGCAATTCAAAGAAAAATCACAGACAATTAGATCAAGTAGATGTAGTTCGCGGTTAGTGCATTTGCAATTTAATTCATGCACACAGTAGTTTAGTACAACGCACTGGTGTATAAGAATCACGTGTCAATCTTGTAGAAATTACAAAATGTTTTTTTGAATTATAAAAAAAATCTGAGTAATTCAATGTAAAACGTTTCATATTTCGGCAAATCGAAAAGAGTTTCTAATGCCATTGGATGACTGTATACCTTAGTTCATCATAAGATGACTGTATAGCTATCATCATTGGTTGACTGTATAGCTTAATTCGTTAGATTACTGGCTAGGTACATTATTTTAGTTCATTATTAGCTCACTGTATATCCTCAATTCATCTTTTGACATATTTTGATTTAAAATCTATTTCATACTCAGACTTTCTAGCATGCTACGATCATTTTAGCTTTGGTGCGATAGGCTTAGTGCTCATTGAAGTGGCTCAATATTTTCATTTTTATAACTTTTCGGATCTTCTCAATGCGTTTCAATATGATGATCGGGTTAAATATAGATTGCAGATGGACGATTGTTATTGAGATATGTATGGCTGTGAGTTCGAATTCTTGAGTAGCCTCTTTTCCTTTGAACATGTAGACGATGTTAACGATGATAAAGGGAAAATATAGCATGGTCGATGTTAGAACTAAAACTCCCAATGCAAATGCTCGCTTGTAATCTTTAATCCGATGCTTTTGCTGCTTTTGAGTCTCTTGTGCTGCTGGCTGTTTCTTTTTGAAATATGCTGTGATATGTACTCTGGCTGTACAGTATATGGTTACAAGGACATTTCCCAAAACGAATCTGAGGGGTGGTAATTTCTTTAAGGTTTGTGAGTTGTCTAGAAGGATTCTGAGTCCTATCATACTTGATGGAAGGTAAACCCATATGGCGATTGCTATGAACATGACTCTCCTTGCTCTAACTTGAACAYGGTGAAAGAAAGGCAACTGTATAGCAAGATATCTTTCTACACTTGTCATCATCAAAGTACRTAATGCCATTCCGCCGCAAAATGCAATCGTTAACACGTAAACTGCAAATAGTAAGCATGGTGTTCCAAGCCCTTTGATTAAAACTACTAAGCACAAACAGAACAAAGGCTCTGCCACTAGTCCCACTATTAGATCAGTCACGGCTAAGGATGCGAGTAAGATGTTATAAGCTTTTGATCGGAGCTGATGATCACCTAATATTCCCCAGATTATCAAGGCGTTGAAAATCGCCGTAAGAGGCGCGGCGAATCCATTTACAATAGCGATGACAGTCCATACTGTTACCACAGAATCTGGCAAATCTGTGATGTTGTAGTGGCTGATTACTGTTGCAATGAAACAAGTCACTGTGCTATTAGRGGTAGGGGACATGGTGTGTCTTCTGAAGATCTCAGACTGTATACAGTGACTGCACACTAAAGTTTCGTGCAGAAAAACAGGATGGAGATTCTGCTTTTCAATTCTCTTTTACCAAATAGTGACATTTTTTATATCCGGCACTATAATCGTGGTCGATTACTTCTTTGYGTTTTTGAAACTATTTTTAGTAATATTATAGTTAAAATATCATAAAAAAAGCAATGTATGGTTTGAGGGATAAATTATGTTCCTGCATTGAGTTTTTTTTTTTAATTATTCAATAAGAAAATTGCAATTTTAGTGGAAAATTTACTCATACATCTGGCAGAACAATCATGTAGCCAGTACATGATTTTACAAYTCAGACCTGCGTATAAATCTAAAAATTGTGAGAATGTGATTAAAGTTTAACAATAGCTGYCAAGCTGACTAATTTTCTCATCGTTCTTCCGAAAACGAATGAAGTTTTCTCGAACCATTTTTTTGACATACGATTTTTTTT